GCAGTGTGATTCTTTTGGGCGAGTGCCCTTCAGCTTATTTCCCTGACCTGGCCCCACCGCAGTCATATACGTTACTTTCCACTTCACACATGACTCCAGAGTCTTGTTCTTGCTTTTAGGGCTTCTGACCTAGAGGCTGTAACCTTAAAGTCTAGGACCCCAAGAGCTCTTTATTCCTCTCTACACCTCTGACGGGCAGGAGCTGGCCTTTGACTCTCACTCCTTTGTTGAGATCCTCACATGCCCTGGAGTCAACTGATGGAAGTAAGCATGGAGGTCTTGGGACTTGAGCAGGCTCCTGGGAGAAGTCAGAGGCATGTACTACTTTGTCCAATCAGCCTCTCATCCACTCCTTCTCTCAATCCACTCAGAAAACTTCTGATGTGCCTGGCACTGGAAAATAACGATGAGTGAGACTTGACCTTTGTCCCTAAGCTTCCTAGGCTCCCTTGTTGTTAGGTGCCACCAAGTGGACTATGAGTCACGGTGCCCCTGTGAATCACATACTGGAACCCTGCCCTGCCCTGCACCATCTGCATAATTTCACTCATATTCACGCCTATTCCTGGATTCACCGTGTCAGTCCATTTCATTGAAATTCTGCCTCTCTTTTGCTGACCTTTCTTTTTTTTATTTTTTAAATCATTCTTTTAATATGTTGCTGCAAATGGCGGCAAACGTGTTTTTAAGCACTGCTGTCAATTTAAAAAGTGTGCGGCAACATATTAAAAATATTTTATAGCTATATTAACGAAAGGTTACAGAAAACTTGGATTTCCATTTATTGATTGTTGCACATTTTCCTCCCTATCCCCCATTCCCCCAGTTCGCTTTTCTCTTTAAAAAGTTTCTTTAATTGTTGCACTTGCTGACTCTGTCTACCTTTTCCAGAATGATGTATATGTCTCTTTCCAAGGACTGGTGTCTCCTGACAATATGCTGAAAGAATGTAAAATGAAGTTTCACCATCTGTTCCTCTAGGAGCTTGGATGGCAGTTACCTGGCTAGACCCAGAGCTGGAGACAAAAAAAAAAAAAAAAAAAAAAGATCCCTTTGCCAGAGGCCTTCTAACCTTTCTGATCCTGTTGTCCCTACAGAGACTCAGATCCTGGGCAACTGATAGAACTCTTTAGATTATTCCCATGCACAGCCAGGTTCTATGATCTTGCTATAGGGGCAGGCAGAACCTAACTTCTATTCGCTTCCAACTGGGTGGCCTTGGTCAAAACACTCTACTCCAAGACTTGACCTCTTTCCTTGTAAAATAAGCGTTATGGCTGATGTCTGCCACAAAAATTGCTGGAAGAATTAGATGAACTAATGGTGGTGCAAAGGAAGAGAAGTTGAAGGAGTAAATAAAGTGATTATGAAGTAAAAGAGCTAAACAGAAGATTACAGAGGACAGCTCAAGAAGTTGTTGTTATGTGCCATAGAGTCACCTGTGACTCATAGTGACCCTATGTACAGCAGCCCAAAACCCTGCTCTATCCTGTACCAATCTTACTGTCTCTGACACACCTACTCCCATTACTGCAGTCACTGAATCAATCCACCTCATCTAGGGTCTTCTTTCCCTGCACTGTCCCTCCACTCTCCCAAACACCATGTCCCTCTCCAAGGACTGGTCCCTCCTTGCAACATGTCCAAATATGTCAGATGAAGCATCAGAATCCTTGTTTCCAAGGAGCAGCCTGGTTTCACCCTCTATAGGACAAACCCGTTTGCTTTCTTTGCAGTCCATGGTACCCTCAACACTCTTCTCCAACACCACAGCTCAAAGGCATCAATTCTCCTTCTATCACCCCTAGTCATTGTGCAGCTCTCTGATGCATAGCAAGTGATTGCAAAGACCATGGCATGTATGAGGTGCACCTTTATCTCCAGACTGACATAGTTGCTCTTCAGTACTTTAGAGAAGTTTCTAACCACAGACTTTCCCGTCTCAATACGTCTTTTAATTTCCTGGCTGCTGGTGCCAAGAGTGTTGATTGTGGAGCCAAACAAACTAAAGCTGTGAACAATTTTAGTCTCTTCACCATCCATCCTGATGCTGCCAATCAGCCCAGTGGTGAGAATCTTTGTTTTCTTGATATTGAGCCCCAGTCCAGACTGAAGTCTGCAGTCCTTGACCTTCTGCAGTAAGCGCTTCAGGTCCTCCTCTGTTTCAGTAAGCAGAGTTGTGTCATCTGCATAACGTACATTGTTGATGAGTCTTCCTCCAATCCTGATTTCACAATTTCTCCTTATAGAGACCAGCCTCCTAGATAATCTGTTCTGAATAAGGATTGAAAATGTTTGGAGATACACCCTTCCCAATTTTGAACCATGCAGTGTTTTCTTGTTCTGTTCTAATGACTGCCTCCTGGTCCAAGTATAGGTTTCACATTAGCACGATCAAGTGTTCTGGGATTCCCATTCTTCTCAGAGTCAGCCACAGTTTGTTGTGATCCACACAGTCAAACGCCTTTGTATAATCAATGAAACACAGATAAACATTCTTCTGGTACTCCTTGCTTTTAGCCTAGATCCATCTAACATTAGCTACAATATCCCTACTACCACGACCCCTTCTAAACCCAGCCTGCACTTCCGGTAGTCCTCTGTTGATGTGCTGTTTCAGTCGTTTTGGATAATATACAGCAGAAAAAGCAAAATATTATAATGAAATGTGCAGAGAGCTGGGACCTGAGAATAAAAATGGAAGATTTCACTTGGCATTTCTCAAGTTGAAAGAACTGGAGAACAAATTCACACCTCGAGTTGCAATACTATGGGCACATCTTGAATAATTCAACAAGCATCAAAAGAAAATGGAAGGAATGCAAAGAATCACTGTACCAAAAAAGAATTGATGACACTGAAACATTTCTGGAAGTAATGAAGGATGAAGTTCAACCTGCACTGAAGGCATTAGCAAAAAAAATAAGGCCCCAGGAAGTGATGAAATACCAATTGACATGTGTGAACTAACAGATGTAGCTCTGGATGTGCTCACCAGTTTATGCTAAGAAATTTGGAAGGCAACTACCTGGCCAACTGACTGGAGGAGATCCATATTCCTCTCCATTCCCAAGAAAGGTGATCCAACAGAATGCACAAATTATCAAAAAATACCATTGATATCTCATGCAGGCAAAATATTGTTGAAGATCATTCAAAAAAAGTTAGAAAAAGTAAGTTGATAGGAAACTACCAGAAGTTCAAATTGGCTTTAGAAGAAGCTGTGGCACCAGGCATATTGTGATGCCAGATGGATCCTTGATGAAAGCGGAGAATACCAGAGAATGTCAATTTGTGTTTTATTGACTATGCAAAGGCATGTGATGGTATAGATCACAACAAATTATGTATAACATTGAGAAAAATGGAAATCCTAGAACACTTAATTGTGCTAATTTGGAATCTATACCTAGACCAAGAAGCTATTATTCAAACTGAGCAAGGGAACACTGCATAATTTAAAATCAGGAAGGGTGTGCATCAAGGTTGTATTCCCTATCCATACCTATTCAGCGTGTATGCTGAGCAAATAATTACAAAGCTAGACTCTATGAAGAAGAATGTGGTATCAGAATTGGAGGAAAACTCATCAACAGCCTGTGTTAGGCAGTTGTAATTTTGTTTGCTGAAAGTGAGGAAGATATGAAAATAATTGCTGCAGAAGATCAAGGACTACAGTCTTCGGTATAGATTAAACCTTAATATCAAGGAAAAAAAGTTCCTGATCACAGAATCAACATTATGAGAAAGGACTGAAGCTGGTCAAGAATTTTATTTTCCTTGGATCAACAATTAACACCTTTGGTTACCAGCTGTCAAGAAATCAGGAGAGGTATTGTACTGGCTAAGTTTGCTGTCAAGAACTCTCCCAAATGCTGAAGAGCAATGATGTCAGTTTGAAGACTAAGTTGTATCTGGTTCAGGTCACGGTCTTCTCAGTCACCTGTTAAGCATCAGAGAGCTGGACATTGAATAAGGATGACAGAAGAAGAATTGATGTCTTTGAGTTGTGATGCTGGAGAAGAGTGTTGAACATACCATGGACTGCCAAAAGAACAGATATGTCTTGGAAAAAGAGCAGCCAGAGTGTTCTTTGGAGACAGGATAGTGAAGCTTCACCTTTCATACTTTGGTTATGTAGCTAGGCAGGCTGTTCCCTGGAAAGGGACATCAAGCTTGGAAAGTTGGAGGGGAAGACCCTCAGTGAAGGAGAGGAAGACCTCCAACAAGATGGATTGGCACTGTGATTTCAGCAATGGGCTCTAGTGTCTCAGAGATGAAGATGGCACAGGATAGGGCAGGGTTCTGGTTGGCTGATCATAGGGTTGCTATGAGTCATACTTGACTTGACGGCAATTAATAGCAATGGTGGTGCAGGGAGCTCTGGTGGCCTAGTGGTAAGTCGTGCTGTAATCCCAAAGGCATGTGATTGGAATCCACCAGCTTCTCTGTGGGTGAAGGACAGGCAGTTTTCTCCCATGTGATTTAATGCCTCTGACAAACTGCTGGAGGGTCAGCTATAGGTCAGTTCCAGCTCAACAGCATACAACAAAAACAACAATGGTGGCCAAAACCACCAGTAGCTTTCATAGAGAAATATGAGTAATCACTTCTCTTGCAATTTACAGCCTCTGAAAATGTGCTCCGGAAGGTCAGTCGTAACTGAATCAGTTCAAAGTCAATGGCAATGTGAAATAGGCACACTGCACTCTATCGACTGCACTATCAAAACATTACTGAGACATGTAGGAAATACAGCAAAGAAGGGCCAGGGACAAGGAGTTAGTAAGGCAAAGAGAAGAGGAAAAGTGCTGAGAGTGAGTGGAGGTGGCCAGCTCTTTCAAGAGAGCAGCTTATGGGAGGCCTGGAGGCAGAGCTGAGTGCAGGGGGGGAGGCAGGCAGTGAGATGCAGAGCAGGAGAGGATACAGGAGAGGCCCAGGCAGGGCTGGATGCTCTAGGAAGCAGGGGTCAGCAGCGGGGGAGATGGAGGGACCAAGCAATGACAGGCTTTCCTGCCCTAGCCCTGCAGCTGGGAAGCAGCAGTGACAAGACCTTCAGTCGCGTGGATAAAGCACTGAGCTGGTATGAGGCGCAGAAGTACTGCCGGCTGTACCACACAGACCTTGCCGACGTGGAGAGCCTGACCACCGTGGACACCTTCAGTGACCTCTACTCCGCCTTGACCAGCACCTCTGCGTGGGTCGGCATCTTCTACGATGAGGACAAGGGTGGTCTGAGCTGGTCCAGTGGATCCACTTTCATCTCCTCAATCTGGACTGCAATACCCGGCTTCAGAGAGGGCATCTGCGGCACTATAAAATCAGTGTTTTTTGTCCCTAACATCGGGGTTGCAATGTGCACACACCAGAAGCCTTTCATCTGCTACTATGGTGTGTCCAGTCATGTCCAGGGCCAGCTCTTTCCCCCAGGGGGTTGGGGGAATGGCAAAGAAAGAGAAAGAGACAGACACCCCTCCCCCCAACACACACACACAGAGTGTCAATCTTCCTGCTACCTTGTTACTTCTGGCTTCTGGCCACCCTATGTATATGACAAAATAGAACTGCTTCTTCTAGTCTGCAGTCTTTGCAGAAGCCAATTGCCAGGTCTTTCTTTTGTGGTGCTGCTAAATAGGTTTGAACCACCAACCTCTTGGTTACTTACCATGTGCAATAGCTAGGGACCTCAGTTGTCATTACTCTGTGACACTACACCTTTTGCTTTATTATAGTTCTGTCCTCTGAGATTCTGTCTCCTCTGCCCACACCCCTCCCTTCATTCTCAGGACCCCATCAGAGATGTGAGTGTGAATCAGCATAGTGAAAAGAAGATCATAAGTGATGTTCTGCCACGTCTCGTCTTTCTGCCCAATAAGGACTTGGGGAAAAGAGAAAGGGAAAGATTTTGAGGGATTCATCTCACAGCGAGGAATAGAGTTAAAGGTCTCCCTCTTCAGAAACCTAAGGGAGGGTGTATGGGTCAGAGTCTGCTCCACTCACACTCCCACCTCATGCCCCCATCTCCTCCTCTGTGTAGAGCACAGGGCACCATCCAGGTCTCATTGTGGGGGTGTGGGTGGGGTGGCACCTCTACCTTCTGTTCCTTCTCCTCTTCTTATGCTCAGTTCAGCTCCGGTCTGGTCAGAGACCTTCCTCAGCTCTCCACCCAAAGCACTTCCTTGCTTTATGCCTCACTTTGCTGTAAACTCTTAACTAGAACCATCAGAATATGAACTATGTTTATGAATCTGTTGACTTCAGCCTCATGGAATGAGATCTTCAAGAAGAGGGGTCCTGTTTGTCTTATTTCTACTTTCCCAGAATGTAGGATGGGGCCTATGTGAGTTGGAATGAATGGTTGGCACACAGCAGAATAGTGCCTGAGTCGCTGACACAGTGCCTGGATTCCCCTGGCAGCCCAAAGAGTTACACACTCCACTCCTCGCTGGAAGGTTGGCCATTGGGACCCACTCAAAAGTGCCAAGAAAGAAAGGTCTGGTGATCTTTCTTACAAAAAGCAGCTTTTTTTAAAAAAAAAAAAAAAAACAAAACACCAAACCACAAAACCCAACCCAGCCCAGTGGAGTCCAGTTTTACTCTGACGCACAAGGAATACTATAAATTGAAGCTAACTGGAAGGCAGTCGGTTTGATTTTGGGGGTGTAGTGGTGATTAGAGCAGTATTTACTGTGCAGTAAAAAGAAAACCCACACCCATTGCCATCCGGTCAATTCGACTCACTATGAGCTTCTAGGAAAGAGTTGAATTGTTCCACAAGCTTCCAGCTTCCCAGCCACCACCTGACCTTTTGTTTACAACTCTGTATGCGCCTTCAGGGCTCTTCCTGCCCAGCAATCCCATTCTGCCTTTGATGAATAAATTCAGGAAAGAATCTTAGAAAAAGCCTCCCCACGTGGAGCTGGACTTTCCCATCTCCCATCTGGCAGCTCCTGGTCTGTACAAGGCCCCGCCTCACACCTTGTCACGTGTGTCCTATGTCTCTCTTGCAGACCCTGCTGTAGGGCAGCGCATGATCTTGGAGCCCACTCTTGCCCCTCCTAAATCAGGTAGGTACTTGCTTGCTTGGTGTTTGCTTTTTTGGACCTTTGGCTCTGTTTGCCTCACACTCGCGCACCGCTACCGGCCCGCGGAGCCATTCGCCTGCCCTCACGCCCGCCTCTGCCTGTTTGTCCTCAGGGGCCTCAGCCGCTCCTTCTCCAGCACAAGCCTGTGAGGGGAACCCATCCTCTGCTCTGCAGGGCCAGAGGAGTGGATTTGCCAGTTGCCTCCCTGCATCCCAGGTGTCACCTCAGAAATCTAGGATGGGGGCCGCACCTCTTCACTGCTAGGCACCATGGATAGGGTGATTGTACTCTTTTCCCCTCTGGGCAGTTACTGTCTTAAATTATTTTTCCTGTTTGTGTAGAGAAATTCTATGAGTAAGTGCATAGCAGTTTATAGATAATTATTCCTCAGTCCATCTGCTTGGAAGAGTAGGATTTTCTGCTTCTGTTCAGAGATGACACGCGCTGCTGAGGTTGCAGACGTACATTTGAATCTCACGTTTCCCTTTCTGTGACCTGAATTTAGGCAAGTCACATGGACCCTTAGAACTTCCCCAAACTCAGTTATAAAGCGAGGATAACAATATCTAATTTTCTGGTCAGTGTTGGTGCTATTGTTATGTGCCACCAAGTCTGAACCAACTCACACCTAATCCTCCAATGAATTTGCAGAAGCTCTAATGTACACAGGAGGAGATTTCCCATCTTTCTCCCTTGGAGCAGCTGGTAGATTCATAACACCTGCCAAATTCGAACCACCTTGCTTGGTTGGCAATGCAACTCCTTACCGCCAAGCCACTAGGGCTCCCTTCTTGGATAATAGGGAGAATTTAAAAAGTTGACGCCTGCTTCATGGCTGTTTCAGGATTGACACATCCTAGGTGCTTAGTAAAAGCTTAATACCAAAACCAAGCCCACTGCTGCTGAGTTAATTCCAACTCATGGTGATCCTTCCTTGTGTTTCCGAGGCTGTAAACCCTTCTGGGAGGGAACTGTTCATCTTTCTTCCACTTATCAGGTGGTGGATTCGAACTACCAACCCTTTGGTTAGCAGTGTAGCACATAATACACGCCGTCACCAATCTCATTAAAGGCCTGATGTTGCTAGGTGCTGTTGAGCCAAGTATGATTCCTAACAATCCTAAGAACAACAGATCTGAGCCCTGTCCTATCCTGTGCCATCACAATCTCTAACACACTCAAGCCCACTGCTGCTGTCACGTGTCAATCCACCTGGCTGAGGATCTAAAAGGCGTGCTTGTTGGTTTTTAAATAAATTTAAACTCAGACTCATTGCCATGGAGTTGGCACAAACTCATGGCTGACCCCTTAGTACCTTTCCAAGGCTGTAAATCACACTGCAGGGGATTGTCCACCTCTCTCCCTCAGAGCTGTGGGTGAATTAAGATGGCTTTTGGGTTAGCAGTGAACTTTCTATGGACTACGCTATCAGAAATCCCCTTTAAACCAGTTTTGGTAGAGAAAATATTAGGGAAATATCAGGCGACTCTTGTACAGGTGAATGGGTACATGTCAGGGGTTTCTGAGGCTCCATTTGAATGTGAGGATGTGACCCTCCTTCCCCAAAAATGGATGTTTCCCAGAGCCAGGCCTTGGGAAGTGGTAGCTCAGATCTTGGCTACAAGTGTTCATGTTCTTTCAAACGTTCATCATTTAGAATCAGATTCGTGGCTTATACGGAGCAGCTGAGGGTGGCCCAAGGCAGGGCAGGCAGCTGGGCCAGTCTGAGCCCCAGGGTCCCTGCACAGGCCAGCCAGCTGGGGGGCTGGAGGGCCAGGCTGTGGGGCACTGGCATCTCTGTGGGGAGCGCCTGCTCTACGTCTTTTACCCAAGTCTGTCCATCACAAGGTCCCTTCTTCACTCTGGCTCCCTTAACATTTCCTCTGAGATCTTTCTGCTTTGGCCATCTGCCAATCAAAGCAGTTCTAACCCTTGGGGAAATCACAGGTGAGGCTGATGCTAAACCAGAATTGTCCTCCTCTCCTTCATTAAAAACAAAAACCCATCATACATTTCCAATTTACGGAGACCCCTTGTGTATCAGAATAGAACACACCCCATAACGTGCTCATTGATTAATCTGGTTTTTCAGAAGTATAGCTCACCAGGCTTTTCTTCTGAGGAGCCTCTGTGCTGTGTGTCTGAGGTTGCAACTACCACTTTAATAAGTGTTTGCTACTTGCACACGTGAGCTCTACTGGCTTAGTTTGGGAGGAATAGCACTGCTAACCCAAATGTGGTTCAAATACACCAGCAGTCCAAGGGAGAAAGATGAGAATTTCTTCCCATGAGATTTATAACTTCAGAAACCCAATGGATGGTCAGTGAGGGGTTGGTTCCAATTCAATAGAAATGAGTTTTGGGTGTTTTTTTTTTTCTCTGTCCACACAGATGGCATCAAACCATTTGCAGACACATTATTATCCCCCATAAACAAATGAGAAATTTAGATATAACCAACCCAGGTCATACAGTTATCAGGAAGGTTTTCACTTCTTGCTTCCCTTGTGTTGGTTCTTTGGTTTTGTTTTTCCATGAGCTTCTGCTATGGTCTCTCATCCATTATGCCATCTTGGTATTTAGTCTAGCACTAGTGGCCTAGTGGCAAGAAGCTGCACTGCAATCCCAAAGGCACATGGTTTGAAACCACCAGCTGCTCTGTGGGAGGATGGGCAATCTCCTCCCTAGTAATTAACAGTCTCTGAAAACCCCCTGGAGGTTCAGTTATGGGCCAGTTACAACTCTACAGTACACAACAACAACAACAATGAGATTCACAGGGGGATCTGGTGGCCTAATGGTAAGGAGCAGCGTGGTTCAAATCTAGCAACTGTTTCATGGGAGAAACGTGGGCAGTCTCCTCTTCTGCAATTAACCGCCTCTGAAAACCCGCTAAGGGTCAGCTATGACTCAGTTCCACTATGATTGACACATAACATCAACTAATGTAAAGATTCTTGATTTGGAGCAAACCTAGCAGGCAAGTTTCAGGCCAGGTTTCTGGCCCTGGGAGCTATGAGTCCTGAGTGGTCAAGAGATCCAGGACCTCAGGCCTCGCTCTCCATGGTTTTTGCCCCAAGCTGAGGTCCAGATTGGACAGCGGACCTTCACGCGGTTTAACCGAGAAAAGACATGGCTCTCAGCCTTGAAGTACTGCCGTGAACAGTACACGGACCTGGCTGATCTGCAGCAAGTGGTCAGTGAAGCAGACAAGCAGGCCTTGAAGTCCATCACAGACGAGACAGAGGCCTGGATGGGGCTCTTCTTCAACGCATCTTCCAAGTCAATGAGCTGGTCCAGCGGCTTGGGTCACTATATCCCCAACTGGCTGACGGTGCCCAAGTTAGTGAAAGGACTGTGTGCCGGCCTTCGGATCTACGTGAACTTTGACCCCAAGGTTTACGCTGTGTCCTGCTTTTCCCTGCGGCCCTTCATCTGCTTCTACGGTGAGTAACCGTTTAGCCCTGGGCCTTGTGAGAACAAAATGGGGAATGAGTATATCTGGTCTAAGAAGGTATCTGTAGACTAGGTGAGTAACTAAATTCTGAGGCCAGCTCCTGAGACTTTGTACTATACTTGGGAGGAAGCTGTGCGATTGTAATTTTGAGAGATCTGCAGAGAATGGCATGGACCCCAACCAGCCTCAGTGCATTATCAGGGAAGGAGCAGAAATGAGTTACTGGACAGCGAAGTGGTTAAGAGCCTGGACTCTGGGATCAGACAGTAATCAGGTGAGCAGCATCTCAGAGTCTCCTTTGTCTCATAATATGTGGATCAAAACGGGACAGATAATGCCTACCTGATTTCGTTAGACATGGAGTGAGGGAAGGACCTGGTGGAGCCCCTGGCACAGAGTGAGTACTCAGCAGAGAGCACGGGGCATTGCTGCGTCACCGGATGCAGGGCAACCAGGTGCATGCTGGGTCTTGGGCATCATGCGTCTCTCAGTATTAGGCTCCATCTTGCCTAACTCTCTCCTCTCCTTTCTTTCTAATGCATTTTCTTTTTATTGAGCTACAATTCACACAGCACAAAAATCTATTGTTTTAAAGGGTAAATCATCTCTAGTGTAGTGAGTGTGTTCACGGAGTTGAACAGCCATCCCCACTGTTTCATTTTAGGACACGCTTAGCACCCCCCTATTAGAAAGCCTAGAATCACTAGCAGTCGCTGCATTTCCCTGGTAGCCACTAATCTACCCTGGGTCTTGGCGGATGTGGTGGCTTCCTTTGTGTTTTGGATTTGAGGAGATCAGTGACATTGGAGTAGTAGTTCTGCTCTTAAAGAACAGCTCTGAGGATTAAAGACTGTGAAAGTGCCCGGCTCAGTGATGGACTCACAGTGGGGTGTGATCCCACTGGGGTGAGTGTGTGTGAGGCTGGCCCATGAGTGTCTGGTGACTTCTCACACAGCGCCACACTCACAATCACACTTTGCATTTTTCTCCAGACCCATCTGTTGGCAAGCTGGACCCAGAAGAATCTCCAATGATCTGGATGGAATCCTCTGAAGTGACTTTGGGGCCATCTGCTAGGCCAAGTATCCACTTCTATTTTCTGCTCTGTATGGGTTCTTTAAACTTGTTCATGGCTGTTTCTTGGGATTTCCAGGTTTGGAGGAGTGGAGAAGGTGGCTTGGCAGGCAGCAGTCCAGGGCAGACCCCAAGAGACCCTCCCTGCGAGGGGCTTACAAAAGTGGCAAGTCAAAAGGTCATAGATGAGGACTAAAAATGCTAGAGTGGCCGTCTGTGCTCTCATCATGATGGGAGGTGGGCTTGGCAGAAGATCATCCACCATCAAGGTCCCTCTCCTGAGTTGGACCATGGAGCCTGAGGTTCCAGGGCTGGGAGACCAGAAAGTCCACCCTGCGAGGTAACAAGGGCTGGCATGGGAGACGGAACCAAAGCTCGCCGAATGGGTTGCTGAGGAAAATCATCTGTGAGGCCTCTGAGGTCCAACATGCAGAGACATAGAGCAGGGATGCCTCTTAAAATCTCTCCTGACTGTGGTTCCTCTGGAGAGAGAAGATGAGAGCTAAGTGGCTGGTACTGGGTGTGGCATGAGCACTGGAGAAGGCAGACACTGCCCTCAGGGAAAGACGCCTCCCACCCAGCCCGAAGCCAGACACCAGCTCCCACGCTGATCTGCAGTCTCCCTCCTTTCGCACCTCTTTCTCCTAGCTCACACCATCTCTGCCCCTGTTAGCATTCCCATTTTGTCATTGTTGAGCACTAGCAAATTGGAACCAACCTATAGCTGACCCTCCACTGGGTTTTCAGAGGGAGTTAATCGCACGGGAGGAGACTGCCCATCCTTTCCCCATGAAGCAGCTGGTGGCCTCGAACCACGTCCTTCGGGATTGCAGTGCAGATTCTTGTTTAGAATATCAAATATTCCTGAAACCTCTTCCCAGCTGTCACTTCATGTTGCTTACCAGGAGTTCTGATGCTATCTAGGACGACTGAGTGCACAATCACATCTGACAAAGGCATGGTTATCTTTTTAGAGGACAGAGAATATAAGGGACTAGCCTAAGGTAGCAGACAACATTATTCATTCCTCCATTCTCGGCTCTATGGGGTCACTACCACTGGTGAGGATTCCAGAAGAGGGCTCAGGACAGGCAGCGTTGTGTTTATAGTGTGACCACAGACAACGTGGGGACACCAAGAAGGGCAGTGCTCTAGGCCCTGAAGTCATCTGGAGAGCTTCCTGGAGGTGGTTTGTTGGTTGTTTTTTTTGGGTGTTTTGTAGTGGTGGTGGGTGGTTGTTAGTGCTGAGGTGGTGACAATTCTGATTCTGGGGGGCCTCTGTGAGTTGGTAAGGAAGGTGACCCTCACCCTGAAAACAACAAGCTGGGGAGGTGCATGCAGTGATCTCTGGTTGAGAGGTTCCTCGGGCATGTTCTGTTTCCCTTCTGACCTCTGACCTGGCCTCACCACTAGCTGTCTTTGCAGGCTTAGGAGGACCTCTCTGCTCATCGGAGTCCAGAATGAGTGGGCAGGGATAATGGGCAGAATTGCTGCCCGGGGCTGCAGGGCTTGGAACCCTAGTGGACCCAGGAGCCCTGCACAGCGTATCCTGGCTCAGTTCTGGGGGCACCAGCTGGACTTGTTAAAGGATCTTGGGGAGGGTTCTCTGGGACAGTAAGTCCCACAGTTGTCTTCTCTCCTGCTTTAGAGCCCGATGCTGACCCTGAGACACTCCATCCCCCCACCACAGAGGCACCCAATGCCACAAACCCAGGGGATGCATGGGTTTCCAAAGAAAGGGTCAGAACTTCACAGGTCACCACTCAGAGCACGTCCTCCAGGCCTGTGCCCATGACGACCCGAACACCGAACCCCACTGTCCGCCAGGACATGAACAGAAGTCCTCTGACCGACTCTCCGAGGTGTAACAAGGCATTGTCGGGAGACTTGGATGCCGGATGCACAACTGTGACTCTGCAAGATGCAGCAGTGGGCACCTCGCTGGATCCTCTCCACAGTGCCTCCATCACCTCCCAAGTGTCCCCCAGGGTGGCCACATCCAGCCTGTCCTACAGCTCCAAGGCTCCAGGTAGCTCCCTGGTGGTGGATGACAATGTGTGGGAACCTGTGGGCTTAGGGAATCCAAGCTGAGCCCCAAAGAACTGAGTGTGGAGCCTCTAGTGCAGAGCCAGCCACCTGCCCTAAGAAGCAGGAAGCTGGTCAGGCCCCTCACCTGGGGAGACTGGGTTGGGCTGCCAAGCCCAGCTCAGCCTACAGACAGGGAAGTCAGAAGCCAGGGGGTTGTGGGGGGGCCACAGGCTCCCATCGGGCTACATTCTGTCAACACTTCAGGGGCTTCTAGTCATCCAGAGCCATTCACCTCCTGCCCTTCCTGGTAATAAGGGTAGAGGTCGGGAGACTCGGCATCTGGAGGAGATAACAGGGTACTATGACTGTAAAAGCAGCATTCTGACAGCCAAAGGTTGAGGGTGTGACTCTACTACTTACAGTGTGGCCTCAGGCATGTTTCCCAACCTCTCTGAAACCTATTTGTTAATGTTTAAAAAGTCAGCTTGAGCATATCAGAGATGGCAAGGATGGTTCAGGGTCAGGCAAGGTTCAGATCTGTTGTTCATAGAGTCGCTATAAATCACAGGCACCTAGCAACTCCACAGCACCTAACAACAACAAAACAAAAGAAAAAAAAACAACAACAAATGCAAACAAACAAAAAACAAACCCACCAGCTTCAGTCCTCTCAGTGCCTGGCTTGTGGCAGGTAATCAATACATGGAGGTTATCATCATTTTAAACTCAGTTCACTAGTGAAACACTTATTGACTCATTCCTCCTAATCCACTCCTTATCTGATTCCTTAGGCAGGAGTTAGGCCCACTGTCATTTTATGAATTATAAAAGAGTAGTAACGGTCACAACTATGAATTACTGAATTTGCAGAGTCTGGAAGGGCGAGGGATGTTTCTTTTTATTGGTATCCCTCGCAGGTCTAGAACAGGGCTTTGCACGTGGTGGTGGTTGTATAATGTGGAGTCTGAGCTGACTCATAACTGACCCCTTCCACAGGTTTTCAGAGACTGTAAATCTCATGAGAGGACTGCAATCACACTGGGGCCCATCTTTGGCCTGTGCAGTACTGGGTAGATTCAAACCGTGTGCCTTTGAGCTGGCAGTGCAGTTCCTTACCCACTAGGGCACCAGAGCCCATAGCACATTGTTAGATTGGTTTAGCTCAAGGATCCTTTCCTGGGTATCATTTCTGGAGAGGACATTGTACTGTGGATACCAAGAGAAGCAGGGGGTGTACCTTGTTGTTAATAGCTTGGTCCAATAGGGAGGCAAGACATAGGGTAAGTGTGTGGTAAGTTCTGTTCTCAGAGAAGGGATCCCTTCTGCCTGGAAGATGGCAGTTGGACAAAAGGTAATAGAGGCTTCACCAAGAGGCCAAAGTCAGAAAATCCTTCTTGGCAGATGAAATAGCCTGACAAACATCAGCAGGAAAGCAGACGGAGGATAAGTCGTTGGCACTGCATACAGTGTGTGTACTGGACAAGGCAAGCACTCAAGTTCAAACTCACTGCCGTCTAGTCCATTTTGACTCTCTCTCAGGTTTCTGAGGCTGTAAATTGCCACTGGAGGAGACTGGCCATCTTTCTCCCTGCGAGCTGCCAGTGATAGCCTTTTGGTTAGCTGTCTGCTTGGTTAGCCCTACCCTGGAGCTCCTGAGACAACGGCTGCGGGAACAGCCACCTCCCAGTGTTAGAAGTCAGTCGGGCTCCCATCCTGGTCTCCACTCCCTCTCCTTTCTCCTCTCTTCCCCAGATCACACCGTATCTGCCTTTGCTAGTATTCCTATAGCATGGTAAATGTACTCCGAGCATCTTCCTGGTTCTTACCTCGTATTGCTCCCCAAGAGTTCTGACGCTGTCTAGGACAACCGAGCACAGAATCACAGCTCTTGTGGCTCCCTTACACACACCTGCAGGAGACGCAGACATCACTCCGTGTTTTGAGGACATAAAGTATAGAGGACTTGCTTTTCCTTCTCCCTCAGAGTGACTGGTGAATTAGAACTACCACAGAGGTGCCAGTTTGGTGTTAGGAGCTTAACTTCCTACAGACAATAGCAATCATATTTCCCTTCAAGATCACAAAAACCTATTAATTTGTGCATATATGTTGATAGCACCGCTGCTCTGTGGGAACACTGTCACTGGTAAGGACTCTGGGGACACCAAGAGTAGAGGCAGGGACTATCCTGAAGTCATTGGTGGGCAGCTAGAAAGGGGGCTGGTGACAGAGGGTGTTGTGTTGAAAGTGGTCACAGACAGGGTGGGAACAGAAAGGAGTTACTCAAGCCCCTGTCATCTTCAGGAGGGCTTCTTGGAGGAGGTGACTTGGTAACTTTTAAAGGCTAAGTAGGAGTTCACTTGCAAAGAAGAGTGAAGGGTTGGGTGGCAGAGGCGGTACAGGTGGCATGAGCTGCAGGTGGATGAGGTGTGCAGTCAGGAGTGGAGGGGGTGGATGTCTAGACTGGGAATCTCTGTGAGTTGCTGAGGAGGGTGATCTGCACTCTGAAAATGATAGTGCCTGAGCAGGCGACTGTTGTCAGATTTGATTCAGAAACTGAGTTGGAGTCTGTGTTGTTTCTCATCTATAAGTTGGTTCTCACATGGCTACCCTAGAAGGTTCAGGAGGCCCTCTGAGCCAGCCCCTATGTGGATTGGGTGGGCAGTGCCAGGACCAGCCACTGCCCAGGGAGCCCACGCCCTGCAAGGACACAGAGCCTGGCTGGGAGGGAGAGGCCTCGGGAACAGCAGGGTCCACAGCTGTTTTCTCTCCTCCTTTAGAGATCAGCGCTGCCCCTGTGACTTTCAAGACCCAGGGGACGGTGGAACGGAACCTGGTGGAGCACACCTTCCCACCGGACGCCTGGGCTTCAGAAGACTGGGCCAGAACCCCGCGAATCACCACTCGGAGTATGTCCTCCAGCCCTGTACACCTGATGACCTCAGTACTGAGCACTACTGTCCCTCAGGACATGGGCAGAAGTCCTCTGACTGACTCTCCGAGCCCTGATGGGATGCTCACACAACCATGTGACCCAGACACCATATGCAGACCTATGACTTTGACAGTGACATCAGCAGGTACCTCGCTGGACTCCCCTCAAGATGCCTCAACCACATCCCTAGTGCCCCCTGAGTCAACCACTTCCAGCCTGTTCCACAGCTCCAAGGGTCCAGGTAGCTCTCTGGGTGTGGATGAAAGTGCCTTGGAGAATTTGGGACCAGGGAGGCCAATCTGAGTACTCCAAAATAACTGTGTATGGTGCCCATGGTCCTGAGTTTGACTGCATGCTATGATAATTAGGGGTTTTCCACCCCTGCCTAGGCCCAGCTCCAGGCCTCTCACTTCAGGACACCAGGCTTGACCTGCCATGCCCAGCTCTGCCCACAACCTCAAAAGGTGGGGGCTATGGGGGTGTGTGTTGGGTCCTAGATTCCTTACCAGCCTGCATTCCAGTCTGCACCACACAGGATCTTGTCCAACCAGAAAGGAGCCCTGGTGACATAGTTTCTACTGTGTATGGCTGCTAACTGGGAGGTCTGTGGTTCAAATCCATCAACTATTCTGTGAGAGAAACAGGAGTAATCTCCTGTTTACAGCCTTAAAATTTGCGGGAGAGTCACTATGAGTCAGACTTGACTGGAGGGTTGAGTCAGTTTACCCTTTAGTCCTTCCTGGTAATAACTTAGGGTGGGGATGTGGAGGGAGGTGAACTGGAGGGGACACTGTATTAGGGGCATAAAGCAAGAGTCTGACAGCCAATGGTTAGAACACTGGCTCTGCCTCTTACTGTGTGACCTCAAGCAAGCTCCCTGACTCCTCTTGTTTTAAATTATGACACATTAAGTATTATTGAACTTGCAGAATCTGGAAGGGCAAGAGGTGTTGAAAATATATTTATCCTAGATCTAGTATAGGTCTAGTAAGAAAAACTCAAATTTACTATAGTTGAGTCAGAATGCATGCATAGCTGACCCTCCACAGGTTTCCTGAGGCTGTAAATGACAAGGGAGGAGATGGCCCATCTTTTCCCCGGCACCTGCTAGCAGATTCGAACCTCCAGAGAAGTAGCTAGGTTAACAGCTCAACTCACTACCCACCAGCAGAGCTCCCTTTGCACAGTGGGAGATGGTTTAGTTCAATGATCCTTTCCTGGCTATCATGTCTGGAGAGGCCAAGAAGAGCAGGGTGTGTACCCTGTTGCTAAGAGCTTCGTCTGACAGGGAGGGAGGGCAATTAGCATGCTAAGTGCTGCACCAAGAGTGGGGACAGGCTGAAGGGGTCTGTTCAGCCTGGAAGGTGACTCCTGGACAAAATGTAAAGAGGATCCAGTCTGTGGTCAAGCCCCGATGGTCTGTCTTGGCAGAAGGAACAGCCTGGGCAACGTCCAGCAGCTGTACAAGTGCTTGGGAATGGCAAGCAGTCTGATGTGCTGGGGGTGCTGGTCACACACGGGGAAGTGAGTGGCAGTGGGTGAGGGGGAGAAAGGGGGCCGAGGGTCAAACTGTGAAGGGCTTGATCCTGAAGGCAAGTGGGGAACCGATCAGGAGGTGCCTATAATGAAATGGGACAATGCTGCCATTAAGATTCTGAATGAAAAACAGAACAAGAAATTGCCAAGCGTATGATTCAACACTATACATGCAACCGTCACAACAATTGTGAAAAGAAACACCGATCTATGCTTAGAAAACCAGAAGGAAATTTATGAAAACATTTAGGTGATAAGGGTAGGGGTGGTCCCCACTGCTTTTGCTCTTGTACCTGTCACAGGTCTATCCCATTGAAGGGATGTGCATTGTTTTGTGTGGGGAAAGGAACAAGCACTTGTGAGGCAGCAGACTAGGAGAGCAGAGATGGGAGTGTGGGTGGGTGGGGGTATGGTGGAAATGAGGGCGCAGTCTGGAGAGAGGAGCTGAGGCTGTGAGTGGGGAGTGGAGTAAGGAGGAACAGGAGGGAATTGATTATAGACAGCTTCCAAGTGATGCTAACTGAAGAAGGGGAAACACATATAAATCTTAAATGCTGAGTTTTGCTCAGTGAATTGCAGAAATGCCAATTAA